AGTGAGATTTGAACCGCTGACCTGCTGATCTAGCAGTAGCCTGCAGTGCTGCTTTTAACCACTGCGCCACCTTAGTTATTCCTGACTCTAGGTGGCGATGCTCATCTCCGTTTCAAAGCCGAAGAGAGCACTGTCTGAAGATATTTCCCTGGTCATGTGGCCGGTATGACTAAATCAGAGGTGGGTTGGTCCCGGTTCGGCCTGGATTGGGAGAACTAGTGGCAGGAGCCTCCGCCCACCTACCCGGACGCTTCCGCACATGCGCAGAACGCAAGTACACAAGCAAACTAGTGCTACTAGGATTTGCAACCCACCTCTGGACTAAACGCCAAAGGCACATGGAACGCTATTACTACCAAAGGTGGTTCCTATTTTTCTACTTGCATTTTTACATGCTTTCAAACTGCTAGGTTGGCGGAAACTGGGACAAGTAATGGGTGCTCACTCCGTTACGCGGTACTAGGGATTCGAACTGCCAAACCGCCGACCTTTCTGATCAACAAGCTCAGTGTCTTAGCCACTGAGCCACCACATCCCTTTTAGATGTACTTTATTGCACTTTAATTATATTACTCTTTCATACGTTGTTTAAACATAATACAATAAAGTTAGAAAGTTTTAATAAATAATTCATCTAGCAGAATATGTTTTTACAATTTTTGTTACCAATCCCTTTTAACTGAAGATGCTGCGAATTAAGCATTCGTCCTTGTTGTGTTGTAGTAAGCCACAACTATTCATAGTTTTCTTTATATGCCTCATTAAACACCCACAAATTAAAAAAATCATAAATTACCTGAAATATTTTTTTGCAGATCTGAAAGAGTGAACAGTTATACATGTTACACATATAACATGTATTTAATATATTTAAATATAAATATTTGATGTAGATTACATAAACTTATATAAAAATATTTAGGGCATTTGATTGCCAGATTCATATTGATTCTGGAATAAAGCAGTGAGTTTGTGGCTATTGAGCAGCATCTGCTGGTGATTACTAGGCACAGTTATTTTGAAATGAGTTTAAAAAAAGAGAAATAAATGTCTCCTTATTAGACATTTTGTAACATTGCAACATGAAATATAATCTTTTCCAATACTCTTTTTCAGCCTTATTTCCCCATGTTAAATGCTAATAACTACCGAAGTAGGTGATTTTACTCACATTTGTATTATTGTACTATTTCGTTAAGACCTTGCCCAATAATTTTTCAGTGTTAATCCACGCCCTCGATCCCAACGGTTACATTTAATTAGCTTAACCTGCCAGGGTTTCATCTGCTCAAATTTAAATGTCTCCTGGAGGAAATGCAGATGACTCCCTTTGCAGTCATAACAATGCAAGAGAAATTCCCCTCAGTGATCTTTCTATGCCTAACTTAAAAAGCAACGTACAAGGAACTGTAGTCAACGAAGAGATTCTGTGAATCATCTCAGCAGCGGAAAAGTTGGCTAAAGTTATGTTATATATATATATATATATATATATATATATATATATATATATATAACAT